AAAGAAAATGGGAAAAGTTGCCATGACAAGCATGCATAAAAAGAGAACAAAAAGCACAAAAAATGTTGGTGAAGACCTCACATATATACAAGGGAGAAAAGATAATCTTTTCAACAAATGGTGTGAGAACTGAACATTCACCACAAAAATCAGTCTAGACAGAGATCTTATAGCTTTCACAAAAATTAACTCAAAATGAATATGAGATCTAAATATCAAACACCTAGAAGTTAGCAAAGAAGAAAACTGAGATGACCCTGGGTACAGCAATGAGGTTTTAGCTACATTAAAGACATGATCCATCAAAGAAACAAGTGACAGCTGAATTTTACTAAGATGAAAAACTCCTGCTGAGCAAATCACCCAACATTAAACAGCCTGGATGGGAGAGGAGGTTGGAGAAGGGTGGTGGTGGTGGCCTAGTTGCTCAGTTGTGTTCGACTCTTGTGACCAAATGGACTGTGACCGCCAGGCTCCTCTGTCCACGGGATTTTTCAGGCAAGAATACTGGAGTGGGTTGCCATGCCCTCCTCCAGGTGATCTTCCCAACCCAGGGATCGAATGTAGGTCTCCAGCATTCAGACGGATTCTTTACCATCTGAGCCACCAGGAAAGCTCAAGAATAGTGGAGTGGATTGCCAAGCCCTCCTCCAAGGGATCTTTCCAACCCAGGGATCAAACCCAGGTCCCCCGCATCGCAGGCGGATTCTTTACCACTGGGCCACAAGCGAAGCCGACAATCTCCAGGACTCTGCTCCAATGACCCTTCCTGCCACAATTTGTGTCATGGACCTCAAAGCTGTTTGTTCAAAGCTATAACCAAAATGTGGACTCCCACAACAAAGTGCACTTTGAATTAAATACAGGGCTGACCAAAATACTCTGAAGAGAAAGGGGCTTTAACAGGTGTCTACAATAAACCATTTTCTACGTTTCTGAAATTCCAACTTCTGTGAAGACATAAAAGGTGATGACAATGTGCTCCTTTTACTGCCTTCAGACCTCCTTGCCATCTGTAAGCAGTGTCTGTCCACAAAAGCTCTGCTCTGAGGTTTCAAGGAGGTCTCCTCCAGTCACAGCTGAAGTTTGTCTTCCCAATTAAGCCGGCTATTAAAGGCCAACTTATAAAGAGAAGAGAGTCAACACTTAATTGGGAAGTAAATCACCTAACAGTAAGTGGTAGACACATTTCCCAATTAAAAATCTGACAAGACCTCACAAAAATAAAATAGCATCTCCAAAATGCCATCTTGCTTGTTTCCCATTTAGAGAGGCTGCCTGCCCCAACTTCACACCAAGCAAAAGGTTAGGGGGGAAAAGATCAATAGAAAAGCAGGAAATGCTATGTCTGCGTGTGTCCATAAAACTGTCCAAATTGTACATCAGCAGGTAATCAGGTCTCTGTCCACCCGACTAGTTTCATTTTAAAGGGTCAGGGGCAAGACCTAAACCAAAAGCTGTGGTTAACAGCAGCTTCTAAAATCAATCCTAAACACTATGCCTCCTCATCAAAGCCCCGCCTCACGAAAGAACCTCTTTTGTTAAATCCCAGAGTGCACCCTCCGAATCATCTGGCCGCCCTGAAATGGTTTTATTCAGTACTTTGTAAATGGTTAAGAATTTCACTTATGAGTCTAAAAGCACTTAAATAAATCATCCACCAAATGTAACCCCTCCACTACAATTACGCTAATTTTTTTACATCATTTTGACTTTTAAATGCCTTAAAGTGATGCACTATCACACACGCAAAATAGTCACCATTTAATTACTTGGTACCATGGCTGCAAATAGTGATGAAGCGTGGGTATTCCCCATGTCTACTCTGACACTGTCCTCAGGTCAAACCCTCATCCACCTACAGTCTTTTTCCAGTTAAAAGATGCTTCTAACAATAAATGGTGTTCCAACTAATAGGAATAGTACGAGAATATAAAGTGCCATGCTAATATTAATACATTATAGAGTACAGAAATGACACTTTTACATATCAGAGCAGGAGAACTGAAGAATTTTTAACATTCACTATTCAAAAAAGGAAAACAACTGCCCATTGATAGAAAAAGATAAAGCTAAACTAATCAAACTCTTCAAAGGACAATGGACTCTATCACTCACAAGTCATTTATTTTGTGACAGACTGACAGGTCCAAAGAAGCCTGGAAGAGAACTGGCATGTACCAGAGACATCTTCAGGGATGTTCAGATTTTATAAACATGAGTCTAAAATGGTTTTCCTTTTTGAGGCTTGTTGCCAAAGCAACCAGGAAAGCTACAGTCTTTGAGAGAGAATTTGAAAAGAGGTTAAGGATAAGAGGAGGTAATCAAAGTTTCATGTGAGGAATTTACAATCATGAATACAATGTTGCAAGAAGAGTAACAGGAAGAATACAAATCGAACAGATAGACAAAGCAGCAACTTCAGAGTCACAGAACAATCTACAAGAGATATGAATCCTCCATTCTTTTTATTTCCATTTTATTGAGATATATTTGACATACAACATTGTAATTATTTAAGGTACACACATAATGATTTGAGATATACGTATATTGCAAAATGATTAAGCCAGTAAGTTAGCATCCATCACCACAGATTTTTCCTTGTGATAAGAACTTTTAAGAGCTACTCTCTTAGTAACTACTTTTCTCTTTGCATTCTTCCCTCAAGTACGACTCCCAAAACTCCCCCACCCCAAATACCAAAGTAAAACGACCATTTTCTTCTCATTCGCTATTATTTATGAAATGGAAACCACTGGCTGTTTCAGAGCACATCAGGTGGGAGACAAGGAATTAGCAACACCCAAATTTTCACTCCAACACCAAAATTTTCCTGTGACTCAGAGAAATGTTGAAATACTCCGACACCAGTAACACCCAGTCTTAAACAAGGTCCTATGTAACCATGAACCTCAATCCTTACTAACCTTGCCCAGGATGCTAGATCTGGACACTCCAATATAGCATGCTGGTAACAGATTATAATAAAGTAAAAATGTTATTCAAGTGGTGTGAGGTGGCCAAGGACAGAGAAGAAAAATGAGTTAACAATATACAACAGAAGTCAGAGTGAAAAATGTCCAGGTCCAAATCATGGTGGTAATGTGAAGGTAACAGAGATGGAAATAAGAAACACATGGTCAACCACCAAATCATATTCCATAACACCCAGCAGGAGATTCCCCCTGAAGAACATATAGGCACAGTCAACCAAAGGCAACGAATGTTTCCAATCAGTATAAGTTAAAAAAAAAAAAAGCTTTAGTTTAACATAAAGGGTTTTTCCAAATATAAGACATTTTGGGTAAACTTAAATGACCTTTAAGGAAACTGATATACAAAATACAAGAAATGAGCAAAGACTACAAAATCATAAATACATAACTGAGAAGGTACATTTGTATATACTGCTATCTTCCCTAATCCCCACTCCACTTTTGTTGAAAATAACTGCTCCTTCTCCGAGATTTCCAGCACATTTCATCTATCTCTTCTAGTCTTATGTCACGTTGTTACTTACATATTTTATCCCTCAAGTAGTCTATACTCTCAAGGGTACCATCATGTCAGATTCATCTTTGCAAAACTCGGGGCATTCACTCATTCATTCAACAGATATTTACTAACTACATAGTAAGTGCCAGGCTCTGTACAACAGACACTAAACTTGTATTGTTTAAATGAATGTTGACTATAAAGCAAAAATAAATAAATAAACCAGTTGAAAAAGGAATCCAAATAAATTCATGTATTACAGTTCCTCAGGAATGAAGCTGGGGAACTAAAAATATTGTACTTGGAGTTTTAGTATCATGATAAACATTTACACTACTGGTGTGTTGTCTTGGCAAGACTGGGTCCACAAGAAAACTGCATTTCCTCTGTATGACCTACCAAGTATATCGCATATGCCCGTACAGAGAAGAATTATCCTCTTGATCCTAAAGAAAATTTAGTAATAATGATTTCATATGTCACAATCTTACTTCTAGAGAAGCCTAAATACCCATGAGATGGGTCTTTATCAGTCCATGAGCGGGTGGGCTGTTCTAAAAGTTAGATCTGTTCATTCATTCAAATGCTTACTAACTACCAGATACTGTTGAGCCTGGGTTTTTAAAAGGTCATCAGAAGCCCTCCAAAACTCAACCAAAAGTTTAGCATAGGTGGGGGAAAGGGGGAGGGAGATGTTTCATTTTATGAAAAAATACATGGATTGAAATTCACGTGCTAACAGCATAAAGTGTCATAATACATTTTGTTCAGCTTGCTTTTAGCCACTCCCTGAATCATCCTTAGCGGGATCTGAATGAATTCTCCACTCTTACTATAATTTACTTTAAGAAAAAGTGGCCCCTAGAAGGTCGACCACTCCTTACTCCCACCATATATAGTCTGGGAAAATGATATGCATAGAGGATAACTTGAAATTTGCTTTGCTTTTTAAAGACTAGATAGGAATACGAAGGCAGAACAAAAATCAGCACGGATGTGTGCCTTCAAATCCACAACTCTTCTAACCAGCTCACGACAGGCTACCGTATTTGAGGCTGAGCCATTCACAGGTGGTTGGAGGTGTTCAACGTGTGAAAACAAAATCTGCAATTTGTGAAAGAGGTCTGCGGACGTCAGGGCCTGACACCCAGAAGTCCAGGGAACAAGGTGAGCAATGCTGAAGACAATCAATCAATACATGTATGAATAAGTGAACACACCGGGCTTTCTCTACCAAACCCCAAATAGCGTGCTTTTAGGGCCCGGGGACCCTAGTGGAAAGCTCTGGCAGTAAATTAGAAAAACAGAGAGGCCAGGCTCCTCCCTCTGGCCCAACCCCAGAGAAAAATTGAGAACTGCGGGGGCCCTTGGGAGGGGCTGTGGGGAGGCAAGGAAGAAAGGGAGGGGTCGGCAGGGTGGAACCCAGCTAACCCTTCTCCCTTCCAAAGCGGAAATCGAGCCGCTGCCCCCTGTCCCCTGCCCCTGCCTCCTGCCTCCCTCACCTGATCACAGAGATGAGCAGCCCCGAGGGGTCTTTGCTTTTGCTGACTGTGCTTCTGTATTTCCCACCAGCTCCTTCTGCCGCCATCTTGGTACGACGGGGAGAGCGGGTGGGCTGGAAGGAACCAAGAGTAAACTCGGTAATTGACCTCGCTGGAGAATGCACCAATGGGAGAAAGGAAGTCCAAAGTCACGGAACTGGCTAACCCAATCGCTGAAGAGAGGAGGCGGGACCTAGGAAGTAAGTTTCAGGCGCGCTCTGAGCACTCTGGGGATTGTAGTTTCCTTCCGCGGTTCCAGGGCGCGCAGGAAAACTAATACAGTTGCGATGTGGTGAAATCTTCTTATATCTTTATTTGTATTTATTCTGATCTTGAGTTTTTCCCTCAGTTTTATTGTTTTTAGAATTTTATTAGTTTTTAAATCATATTTATCTGATCATGCCAAAATGCGTACATGGGGTGTGTATTTCAGTAGGGTCTGTGTTTGATGTCTGTATGACAGTTTTTACTTTAAACACAAGTAGTTTTTTTTTAATCCAATAAATTGCGAAAATGGATAGATACAGAATTCTTTTCTGTAGTATTATCTAAAACTAAATGCTTATGCATTAGTTTAATGTGTAAATTCAGTTATTTTGTTATTTCCGGACAATTCTAAAAAACATGCAAGGAGTAACACAAATGGATATTGATAAAGAAAACAAAAACCCAGAAGCAAAACTGACCAGTTTGCAGATCCCTTTTCTTCTCAAGCTAAATAAAATATAACTGGCAATAATGCACCAATGTGCTTTATTAAGATTTTTATTGGTAAGTTTTCATATGTCCTGCATCTGGTTCAACTGGCTTAATCATAAATTCAGTAGATGAAATGAACAGAATAAGATTACCATAAGAATGGAAAGTGCATAAATTGAGGTGGGAAGGGCGAGTGATCTGCTTAGTAGCAGTAGAGATGAAAGAAGCTCAGAGATGAATAGAAAGCAAACAGAGAGGTCCTGGAGCTGTGAAATAGCAAGCACAGAGCACCTCCACTACTTTGATTAGGCAGGTGTCAGTTGGCAGAGGTTCACAGTGATTTTATAAAATAACTTGCAGATACACACACACACACACACACACACATACATATTTTTTTAAGTGTTCCTTACCTTTGGCTCAATAATTCCAGTTCTAGGGGTTCTGATTCTAGAGAAATAGAGATTCAGAAAAAAAAATTTTCTTAATTTTTAAAGCAGCATAGAAGTATTAAATAAATTATAGAACATCCACACAAGAATATAACATGTAGCCACTGGAAATCATAATTTTAGTGGTTTTTAATGAAGAAAAGATGTTCATGATATACTTGCAAAAAGCAGGTTATAAAATTAAAGAATGCACGTATGTGAAAAGGGGTAATTGAGCCTAGTGGCTAACGATGTAGGCAGTAAGAAGAAAAAAAAACAGGATCACCTCAGTAGATACAGAAAAAGTTTTAGACAGAATTGAACAACCTTTTCATGATGAAACGCTCAGAAAACTGGAAGTAGAAGGGAATTTATTCAATATGATAAAGATTGTTTATTAAAAACACACAGCTAACACTCAGTGGTCAAAAACTGAATGCTTTTCAGCTGTGATCTGGTACAAAACAAAGATGCCCACTTTGCCATTTCTGTTCAGTGAAGTACTGAAAAGTCTAGCCAAAACAATTAGGCAAGTAAAAAATAAAAGGCATTCAAATTAGAAAGAAAGAAGTAAAACCATCTCTATGTGTAGACAAGGTGGTTGACATATGGAAATCCTAAAGAATTTTTTAAAAACTATTAGAGCTAATAAATTAATTCAGCAAGGTTGCAGGATGCAATATCAAAACAAAAATATCAATAGTATTTTTAGACACTAGCTATGAACAATCAAAAAAGGAAATTAACAAAACAATTCCATTTAAAATAGCATCAAAAAGGATAAAATATTTAAGAATAAATTTAACCAAGGAGATGAAAGACTTAAACACTCAAAACTACAAAACTTTGCTGAAGGAAATTAAAGAAGATGTAAATAAATGGAGAAACATCCTGTGAGCATGGCTTGGAAGAATTAATATCATTAATATGTCAGTACTCCCTAAAGCTATCTACAAATTCAGTGCAATCCTTATGAGAATTCCAATAGTCTTTTTGCAGCATTGGAAAACCTGATCCAAAAATTTAAATACAAGGGATGTATTGCAAGGAACCTCAAATAGCCAAGAAGAATCTGGAAAAAACTATGGTTTGATATGTGGTATATGATTGAGGTATCAACAAAATGTGCCGTAATAACAAAATGTGACATATCAACATCCAATGGAATATTATTCAACCATAAATGGAAATAAAATACTAATACATGCTATATCATTAATGAAACTTGAAAACATTATACTAAGTGAAAGAAACCAGATGCAAAAGGCTCAATAGTGTATGATTCCGTTTATTTTAAAAAAAATACCTAGATTAGAGGAATTCATACAAACAGAAAGCAGATGGGTGATTCACAGGGGTTGAGAGGTGGTGGGAATGGAGAGCAACTGCTTTATAGACGCAGGGTTCCTTGTGATTCACTCCCAGCCCTTCACCTGCTTTTAGATTATCTTAGTGTGTGCATGCTCAGTTGTCTCCGACTCTTTGCAACCTCATGAACTATAGTGCACCAGGCTCCTCTGTCCATGGGATTTCCAGGCAAGCATGCTGGAGTGAGTTGTCATTTCCTCCTCCAGGGGATCTACCCAACCCAGGGAACAAACTGGAGTCTGCAGTGTCTCCTGCATTGGCAGGAAGATTCTTTACTACTGCGCCACCAGAGAAACAGACTGTCTTGGATGAGTTACTGAATCTTTCTAGGCCTCAGTTTTCTTATCTATAAAGCAAATGATAGAACTTCCTTCAGACAATTATAGTAAGACTATGACATATACATGACCAGCACTTTGTAAATAGTACATGAACCATGAACTTCCAGATGTTCAAGCTGGATTTAGAAAAGGCAGAGGAACCAGAGATCAAATTGCCAACATCCGCTGGATCATTGAAAAAGCAAGAGAGTTCCAGAAAAACATCTATTTCTGCTTTCTTGACTATGCCAAAGCCTTTGACTGTGTAGATCACAACAAACTGTGGAAAATTCTGAAAGAGATGGGAATACCAGACCACCTGACCTGCCTCTTGAGAAATCTGTATGCAGGTCAGGGAGCAACAGTTAGAACTGGACATAGAACAACAGACTGGTTCCAAATAGGAATAGGAGTATGTCAAGGCTGTATATTGTCACCGTGCTTATTTAACTTATATGCAGAGTACATCATGAGAAATGCTGGGCTGGATGAAGCACAGGCTGGAATCAAGATTGCCAGGAGAAATACAATAACCTCAGATATGCAAATGACACCACCCTTATGGCAGAAAGTGAAGAACTAAAGAGCCTCTTGATGAAAGTGAAAGAAGGGAGTGAGAAAGTTGGCTTAAAGCTCAACATTCAAATAACTAAATCATGGCATCTGGTCCCATCACTTCATGGCAAATAGATGAGGAAACAGTAGAAACAGTGACAGACTTTATTTTGGGGGCTCCAAAATCACTGCAGATGGTGACTGCAGCCATGAAATTAAAAGACGCTTACTCCTTGGAAGGAAAGTTATGACCAACCTAGACAGCATATTAAAAAGCAGAGACATTACTTTGCCAACAAAGGTCCATCTAGTCAAAGCTATGGTTTTTCCAGTAGTCAAGTATGGTTGTGAGAGCTGGGCTATAAAGAACACTGAGTGCTGAAGAATTAATGCTTTTGAACTGTGGTGTTGTAAAAGACTCTTGAGAGTCCCTTGGACTGGATATCCAACCAGTCCATCCTAAAGGAAATCAGTCCTGAATATTTATTGGAAGGACTTATGTTGAAGCTGAAACTCCAATACTTTAGCCACCTGATGCAAAGGACTGACTCGTTTGAAAAGACCCTAATGCTGGGAAAGATTGAAGGCAGGAGGAGAAGGGGACGACAAAGGATGAGATGGTTGGGTGGCATCACTGACTCAATGAACATGAGTTTGAGTAAGCTCTGGGAGTTGATGATGGACAGGGAGGCCTGGCATGCTGCAGTCCATGGGGTCGCAAAGAGCTGGACATGACTGAGCGACTGATTCTGAACTGAACTGGGTATTACAAAGTTGTTTTGAGGAGCAGGAAAAAGGTAATTTTTTCATTATTTTTAACACTTTACTGTATTTTCCAAATTTTACCTGAATAGGCATTGCTTTTGTAAGCAGAACTTTTAAAAAAAAAAGCAAGAATTGGTTAAGCATCAAAAATGATGGGCCACTTTCATCACTGGAAACGCAGTTACATGATAATTAAATCAACACACCCCAATTAAACCTTCATTCAATACATTGTTTTTACAGGAAACCTTTGTACTATTGTAGTTTTCATCTTCAGGTGACAACCATACCCTTTCACATTGCTTCTATCCTAGGTGATCTTCTAAACTAATTCTAAACTTGCACTAAACTGTTAACAACAGGGAAAATTTAAGGGGAAGACACGGTGTGTCTGCTCGTTTGTAACATTCAACCTTAAATGCAAATTCCCAAACTCACCAGGCTACTTGGACCAACTAAGGCTATGAACATCAAAGTGATTTGATCTCCTGCAATACAGGAGATGCAGAAAACCTGGAGTTAGATTCCTGGGTTGGGAAGATCCCCTAGAGGAGAAAATGGCAACCCACTCCAGTATTCTTGCCTGAAAGATCTCATGAACAGAGGAGTCGGGTGGGCTACAGTCCCCAGTATCACAAAGAGTCGGACACGACTGAGCACACACATGCAAGCAAGGGATTGACAATATACTCCTCTGTGTGGAGGGGCTGACATGCTATACAGGAAAAGAAAAGGAAATGACCATAAACCACAACATTAATGCCCAAAGAACAAGAGCATAATGTGGCAGATGTTTCAGTAGGAAATAAGCAAGGAAAGCTTTCCTTTCTGTAGGAAAGTTTCCTACAGTGGTCTTCATGGAATAGGTGGGTTATAAGCAAACTTGACCTCCCCCACCACCCCAAAAAA